ATTCGTCTTCATTTAAGAAAGTTATATAAACATTCCTCATTTTCTCCCGATGATTTCAGTCATTACTAACTGGAGCAAAATTTAAATAAACTCAAATGCCCAGGGACAATCTGGCTTCTTTATGGGAACTCAGTCAGCTGTCTGTGCAGACTGATCCTGAGTTCTCATTCATGCTTAGCTAAAATCCATGGTCTGGATCCTATTTACCATGTAGTCATTGTAGAGTTAATATTTGGTGGATATATATATATATATATATATATATATATATATCCATGTGTATGAGTCAGATTTAGAGACTGTGAATGACAAGTGCTTTTTCATTGCCTTAGACAAATTGTAGCTCATATCTCACTGACTTATTGACTCATTTCCCTCAGATGAGGGAGAGAGTAGCCATTTCTGTCAGATGACTATAAAATGCTGCATAGCAACTATGGAAGCTCAGAGGCATACAATAATTGGAAACTGAGCATCACTTGGCTCAGTACCCAGATTCCAGGAGAAACACTGACACAGGTCCCATTTGAACTGCAAGGGAAATCTGCATCCTGAAGCCCACTGAGGGCTTTGTGTGCCTCCTACACCCAGGTCCTCCTTGAGCAAGCTGCAGAGATTGGCTTCCCTTTGGTACCTGCCCCATGGATCCCTAAAGGGCTTTGCCAGTCATGAGGTAATCAAGGCTACCAGACATGGTCTCCTCCAGTCCATCTCCACACTCAAGATGCTCTTGCTACTTCTCACCGGTTCCTAGTTGTCCTTTATTTTAATAGGCTCACTTTCCACAGTGTACAAGATTTTGCTATTTGTTCTTATGACAAGTCCCAAAGCACATATTTCTCTTTTAATAAAAGGAATTCAAATCTATTTTCCATTGGAAAGTAAATCTTATAAAATGTGTCACCACACTGGGAGTGTTAGGGGCTGCACATGTGAGGACAGAGGTGTGTTTAGAATCACCACTGAGTGGCCCATTCCCCAGATGAGCCTGCTGCTTCACCCAGTGGCCCATCCCAGGACCCTGTGTCTCTGAGACTCATACCCATATTCCTGGTTTACAGGTCCTCCTGTCACCACTGGGCTGCACACTGGCACTATATTGTCCCTTCTTGGTCTCTCTGCCCTCACACTCCTTGCTTGAGTATTCTCATGAGCCCTCAAACTCCATCATTGACTTGATGATCTTAGAGCTCATCTGAAGACTGATGTGAGCAGCTTCATTTGCAGGCTCCTTCTCCCCTTTAGGGTTGGGCCTCACCTCTGCTGTGGAGAGAATCCTCCAATTCCATCCTGCCCCAATACCAGCTCTCCTTTCCTTGTTCCTGGGAGCTTGAAGGAGGCAGTTCCTGCAGCCTCTGTCCTCAGTGAACTTCACAATTAGCTCATAGGCCTGGACTGAAAGGGGAAATGGTCAGACCTGATTTTCAGAAATGTTGTTATTCCCTTGTGGCCTCGCCTGACCATATTCCCTGCTCTGTCTCTGATAAAATCTCCCTGGGAGGAGCATGTGTGTGTCTGTTTCTGGCCCACTAACTGGGAAGGCTTGTGACAATAAGACCAAAACACAGGCCTCCATCTCAGAGCTGCCAGAGAGGAGTGAGATGCTATCAGATGCCTGTTGGAAAACTCCAAAGGCTGAGGATTTCAGGATGGCTGGAAGACAGCCCAAGGACTTCTCTTCACCTTGGCCCACCCATGGCATGGCACCTAATATGTCCTGCTTGGGGCTGGTGACATTGGATGGCTGGGGAATGGTGTAGGATACAGTCAGCCAAGGCACACTCTTTCAGTGCACTAGTTTCCATGGACATCACTTCTTTACAGTTCATTGCCCTTAAAACATAGAAGGAAAAGTATATGGATAGCTATAATTTTTGCTGTTTACCTCCAGAGATTCCAAATTTTAACACATTTGACTCTCAAGTCAGTTTATAGGCTATGTCTCTCCAGTAGGAAAACATTCCAATTGTAATTGATTTCTTTCTAACCCACCCAGTCTCTGTGTGATGGGTTTGAATGTTCAATTGTCAGAACATGGTCCCCAGTGTAACAGTGTTAGGAGGTGGGACTTTTAAGAGGTGAGTAGTTCATGAAGGTTCCCTCTTGAATGGAGTAATGTTGTTGTCTTGGGAATGAGTTTTTTATTGCAAGATGTTTACTATCAAAACAAGTTCACTTGTGCTCTGTGTCTCTCTCACTCCCTCTCCTTCTGCTATGGAAAGATGAAGAAAAGAAGCCTCTTCCAATACTAGAATCTCAGCATTGGACTTCCCAGTCTCTGGAACTAGGAAAATACACTCCTTTTCTTCATAAAGTGTCTAACCTGTGGTACACTATTTTCACAGCACAAAACAGAGACAGATGGATAAGCACAGCCTTTACCATGGTTTCCAGAAAGCAGTTGCTCATCAAACTGCACTCAGTTCTTTGTCTGTGTATACCCACTTTCTCAGTAAGAGGTGTTCTTTGCTGGTGGGTGTTGGAGAAAGTCCTTTCTCTAATTGGCATGTGGAATATTCTAGGGCCAGGTCCCTGGGATGACCCCCACAGGTGACTTCACACCACATTCCAGGCAGCTGTGTGAACCAGCCTACCTGTACCACCCATTCTAAGGCATGGTGGGTCTGGGACATACTGTGCATCTGCAGGTGTCACTTAATTGATGTAGAGGATGTGTTCCATTACAAGCTATTAAGGCTTGGCAAGCATTTTTCACATCACACTAATGCAAGCTAACAGTGATGCTAAATTCTATCCATCCTGCACCATTTCTTAAATGATTGGAGGTAGGAGGATATGCAGGTGTTGAGACTAGCAACATTTTAAAAACAATGTTTTGGGGATTTATGTCCTTCAATTGGCCTTAACGGCGAATTTCAGAAGCCAATTTTGTGGGTTACATATACAGCAGATTCTTGGCACCCAATCCTGGCATTCACAGCAGCTATCACAGACTGCCATTGTCTCCTCATGGCCCAGAGGAGAAGAGAGAGGGTCATGATGCTTGAAACACAGTTCTGTCCAGGGTGACCTAGGTCACTTGCATGCTGCTTTCCTCAAAGGTGTGGGGATGGTGAAGGGGAAGGCTTGTAGGGAGCTCCTGTTTCACCAACAAGGAATGTGTTGCTATGTGTCTACTTTCTGATGGACACACTGGCATTCTTTCCCACTCCTCGTTGGGCACAGTGCTTACCAGCATTGTGGCTGAGAGCAAGTCCTGCTGTTCCTTTGGGCTATAAAGACAGTTTACAGAGAGTCCCATTCTCTTCTGAGGCCTCACAGCACCTTTCCTGGTCCTCCCATGAACCACACCTTATCCTGGATGGTAATGGAAGATATCAGACGCACTAGGGGCTGAGGTACTTCACCCTAGTTGGTTCTGTATTTGCTCACCTGTCAGTTGCATGTGCTGATCTGTGAAGTCATCAATGAAATGTGGCTTTTGTCCATTTTCTTTTTTGACCAACATCAGAGCCAGAAGCCCTTCACCAAGTCTCCTCCTCAGGGTTGTTCCTGTACTTGATATGGAGGAATCCTCTGGGAAGTGAGTGAATGGGTACAGGTTATTATGTGTGATCCTTGCCATGGCTGTGTATCTAAGGGACAGGTGGCTAGATGCTCCCATGATGGCCCTTGTGGTTTAGAGCTAAAATGGCTTCCAAAGCCTCATGTTTTTGGGAGGCAAGTGGATTATGGAAGTGTTACAGCTGATTTGTGGTTTGGTGGTGTTATGGTTTATATCTGAATGTTCCCCCAAAGTCTCATGCATTCATAAGTGGAGGTTTGTGGAAGGTGATTAGCTTCTGGGGCATTAAAGATGACTTGCTTTTAGGATGTAGAGTCTGGTTGGAAGAAGCAGGTCACTGTAGGCATGTCCTAGAAGGGTATATCTCCCTTCTTAGCTGCTTTCTCATCCTTTCTCTCTGCTTCTGACCTGCCATGAGGTGAGCAATTTTTCCTCTGCCATGTCCCTCTGCCATATCATCCTGCCTTGGAACCAGCTAACTTGACTGAAGCTTGAGCCAAAATAAACTCCTCCTTTAATTTGTGGGTGTCAGGTATTCTAGTGACAGAAAGTCACTAAAAGACATGGGGTCTGGTCAAAAAAGGCAGGTCACTGGGTTAAGGGAGTGGCCTAGAAGGGTATATCATTCTCCCCAAATCTTCCCTTCATGGTTCATGGCAGTCAGGACTGCCATGATGTGAGCAGCTTTTCATCTCCACGCCCCTCTGCCATGCTGTTTCTTCTTTGAAGCGGACTGACCATGAAATGAAACATGAGCCAAAATAAATCTTTGCTTCTTGAAATTGCAAGTGTTGAATATTGGGTTCCAGTGACAAAAAAGTAATTAAAGCAAATTTTGGTACCAGAGAGATGGGGTTATTGCTGTGATACTTCTTGAACATGTGGTTCTCAGGCCTTTGGAATTGGTTTGCAGGAGGAGTTTTGGAAAGTTTGGAGATGCCACCTGGAAGAGCAGCCCTAGAATTCTGTGAGTTGAGCTTTATAAAAGATTCTGATCAGAGCTCAGAAGACCAGAATGCTGATAAAAAGGCAGATGATAAAGACCAGGTTCAGGAGATTTCAGTTGGGAATAAGAACTCCATTAGCACTGGACTCCAGGCCATATGCATTATGCTCTGGCAGAAAATATTTCTACATTTTGCTCTTTTCCTAAGACTTTGTGGGAAACTGAGATCAAGGGCAGCAGACTGATTAATGTGGAAGAGAAAATTTCAAGGCAGCCCAATGTTGAGAATGTGGCCTGAGCACTGTCAGAGATTTTTAGGCAGGTTTATACTCAAAGTCAAGAACAAAAATCATTTGAAAAGTTTTCAGGTTCTCCAGAAAGGAGGGACCAGCAAAGGTAGAGCAGAGATCAGCTTGGTTACTGAAAAGATTAGCATTAAAGGCCCGACTGCATTTGCCATTGTGTCTCCATGGCAGGACCCTGGCCACCAACTTCAACAACTTCATAAGGAGGCATTTCTGGGCTTAGCTATATCACTCCTGGTTTCCATCATGTGGGAAAAATGGAGTAATGAGTCTCACACAGAAAAATGTCTTGAGAACACCTTGTGGCCCACCCAGTGACAATCAGCTGTGACGATCGAAAGAAGATAACAACTCGGGTCAATGTAAAATGAACCACTATGATAAAAAGAACGACACTCAAATGAACGCGGTCAGTTGTCTCAAGTCTGAGGTCAGGATGCAGAAGGGCGAGTGGCAAATGGCTAAGAAGTTCCTGGAGGAGTGGAAGGAGGTGGCCCATGAGCTGGCCGAGACAGAGCACAAGAACACAGTGCTGAGGCACAACATCGAGTGCATCAAGGAGGGGAAGGACTACACCATGCTCCCGAAGAAGCACCTCCAGAAGGAGAAGGAGTGCCTCATGTCCAAGCTGGTGGAGGCAGAAATGGATGGAGCTGCTGCTGCCAAGCAGGTCATGGCCCTGAAGGACACCATCAGGAAGCTTAAGATGGAGAAACAGATGACCTGCACGGACATCAACACGCTGATGAGGCAGACGGAACTTCTCTTGCAGAAGCTGGGCACGTTCGAGGAGACCAACCGCACCCTCCAAGACCTGCTGCGGGAATGGCGCCGCAGGGAGGAGGCTGAAAGAGTCGTGGAGGATCAAGGAGCGCTGCTGAAACGGCTGGTAGAGGCGGACTCGGAGGAAGCGCGGCTGCTGTTACTGCTGCAGGACAAGGACAAGGAAGTGGGAGAGCTCCTGCAGGAAATACAGTGTGAGAAGGCCCGAGCAAAGACAGCGTCGGAGCTTTCCAAGTCCATGGAGTCAATGCGTGGGCACCTGCACGCACAACTCCGGTGCAAAGAGGCTGAGAACAGTCGCCTGTGCGTGCAGATCAAGAACCTGGAGCGCAGCGGGAACCAGCACAAGGCGGAGGTGGAGGCCATCATGGAGCAGCTGAAGGAACTGAAGCAGAAGGGAGACCGTGACAAGGAGTCCCTAAAGAAGGCCATCCTGGCCCAGGAGTGGGCTGAAAAGAGCGAGAAGTACGCTGAGCAGCTACACGTGCACCTCGCAGGCAAGGATCTTTATGTTGCCAAAGCTTTACCCATGCTGGAGTCGTGGCGGAGCTGCTACAACCAGATTGTGAAAGACAAGGGAGACCTGGAGCTGGAAATCATCGTTCTGAACGACCGGGTGACAGACCCTGTGAACCAGCAGCAGACCTTGGAGGAGAAGATGCGGGAGGACCGTGACAGCCTGGTGGAGAGGCTGCACCAGCAGACAGCCGAGGACTCCGCCTTCAAGCTGGAGAATGAGCGGCTGAAGGCCAGCTTCGCCCCAATGGATGACAAACTCAACCAGGCACACCGCGAGGTCCAGCAGCTGAAGGTGTCAGTGAAGAACTATGAGGGAATGATCAACAATTATAAGAGCCAGGTGATGAAAACCAGATTGGAGGCTGATGAAGTGGTTCCCCAGCTCCTGCGCTGCGACAAAGAGAACAAGATCCTTAAAGATGAGATGAACAAGGAGATCAAGTTGGTCAGTCGGCAGTTCCGGCCTCAGCTGGCTGACCTGCAGCAACTGCCTGACATCCTCAAGATCACAGAGGCCAAACTGGCCAAGTGCCAGGACCAATTGCAGGGCTGCAAGAGGAAGAACACTGACCTGAGGACCATCATCTCTGACCTGCGCAGCTGGGTAAGGGACTGGCAGAAAGGGTCCCATGACCTGACCCAAGCAGGGGCCCTCTTGCCAAGATGAGCCGCATGCTCCCCATGGGATGACCACTGCCTTTATCTCAACTGCCTCTTTCAGAAGGAGTGAGCTATCATCAGTGCTGTGAAATAAAAGTCTGGTGTGCCAAAAACCCCAAAAGATTAGCATTAAAAATAAGCCAAGTTCTCTACAACAAAACAATAAGGCAGATGCCTTGACAGCATGTGAGGACTCAGTAAGGTCCCATACTTCACAGGTTAAAAGATGCAAACTTGAAAAACTTTGCTTTGAGAAGAGACCCCTAGGGTACCCTGCTGGAAAAGGGCCCCTAGGGAATTGGTTCCTTAAGATCTCATTCACAGAGCTCTGTCATCTAGGCACTCAGAGATTGTTGCAGTCATGATTCAAGGAGGTCTGGCTACTACTTGAGCTGGCAGCAGACTTTGGCATCATCCATGTGATGCTGGTTTGACTAACATACAAAATACAAGAATTGTGGCATTGGGAAAGCTTCTATATTTCAAAAGAAGACCTGGAAGTCTAGCCAGTATGTTCCTGAGAGAACACGGAGTGAAGTTGAGGGCATTGAGTTAAACCAAAAATGAATTGGAGACCCCAAGAAGTTAGATATGCCAGGGACATGGACTATTGGCTGAGGAAAACAGCAGACAGTGAGAAAAGCTACCCTATGAGAGAGGTCATTAGAGCAGTAACTGCAATGCTGAAGGGGCAGGGCTGCCTAAGAACTTTGGAGTTCACATTTTTGCCCTAGGTGCTGGGCATGGAGTTATAGGATTGAACATTTGTTCTTTTGGATTTTAGCCTTGCTTTAGTCCAGCTGGTTTCTATCCCATCTTCCTCCCTTTTGGATTGAAAGTATTTGCCATGTGCCATTATATGTCAGCAGATTTTAACTTTCTTTTTTTTAATTTTACAGGTGTTCACAGCTAAGAGTTTGCCTTGAATCTCAGAGGGACTTTGTATATGGACTTTTCAGCTAAAACAGTTAAAATTTCAATAACTCTTAAAGATGGATTAAATGCATTTTGGATAAAGAAATGTGCATGACTCTTTTGGGGGATCGGGGCAGAATGTTATGGTTTAGATCTAACATATCCCCTAAAGTCTCCTGTGTTTAGACAGTGGTTAGATTATGGGGGTGTTATAGCTGACTTGCTGTTAGGAGGTGAGGTCTAGTTGGAAAAGAAAGGTCACTAGGGCATGGCCTGGAAAGGTATATCTCTTTTTCTGAATCCTCCCTTCACTCTCAGGTTCCTCTCACAGACTATGCTTGGCTTCTCCATTTCACTTGTTCACTCTCCGTTCTTCATGCTTTTCTGTCTGCCCTGTCCTGGGTGGATGACTTTGGCCTTCTGTAGCATAACCTTCAGTACACCTGTCTCAGGTGCTATAGTTTGAATCTTAAGTGAGCCCCAAAGGTTCATGTGGTGTAGGGCTGCTTCCAGTGTGGTACTAGTTGGAAGTGGTAGAAACTTTAAGAGATGGGGCCTACTGGGAGGTCATTTGGTACATGCCCTTGAAGGGAGAGTGGAGGCGCAGCCCATTCTCCTTTCTCTCTCTTGTTCATGGACATGAGATGGGTAGTTTTGCTCCAACACATGCTCCCACCATGATATGCTGCCTTGCCACAGGCCTAAAGGCAACAGGGCCACCCAATCTGGATCAAAACCTTCAAAAGTACCTGATAAAATAAATCTTTTCTTTTTATAAGTTGACTACTCAAATATTTATGATAGTAATGTTAAACTAAGTAACATAACAAGGAATTACCTCACACATTGTGGGGAACTAGGATGCAGGCTTGAGCCCTGATTAAAGAGAGTCTCCCCATGTGAGCCCTGCAGGGGCTTAGGGGTAGGGAGTGTTTGGACTGTGGATGTACAGTACAAGCAGGGAGGATTCTCACTCACTGGGAAGCCTCATTACACCCCAGGGATCACCCTTAGGACAAACTATACACATTCCATGTCAGGTTTGTTTGGCTTAGCTCTGGACCAGCCTTGATAGAAGGGATTCAGAGACATTTGGCTTCTTCCTGTCTCTCCTGGGTCCCTGCCCTAAGCCCACCTTCTAAGATCTGGAGTGGTCACTCACACAGAGCCAGTTGGCCTCTTGGGCACTCTACTGCAGTATCCCTGCCTGAAGCTTCTGGTGAAGCTCAGGTATAGGCTTAGATCTGGGCCTAGAACATGGCACCTGAGTGAAGAGGCTTCCACAGTGTGGATGACCTAACATGAGCCTACAGTGTCATGTGCTTCTGATTGCTCGTCTCACTCCTATCACACAGGAGAAGTGACTGGGTCTCTAAGTGTCACTTTAAATGAAAACTAAACGTTCCCTCCTGAGCCCCGATTCCCTGTCCCTCAGTGATGCCTTTGGAAGATAACAATGAGAATGAATTATCGCTTGTATAAAAAAATAGGAAACTGCTAGGTTTGAAAAATGACAAAGCAACAGTCAGACCTTTTTACTGACTATAGCAAGCATGGGGTGGAACTATCACTGAGGAATAATGGAGTGCTGATCTGGGCACTCACAGCCACACTGGGGTTCAGCTCACATTTCAGAGGAGGGGAGCTGAGTGACTCTGCCCTGCAGATGCTCTTCTGGCCAACAGTTTCCTCCCCAGAATTGCTAAAGCCTTGAAGCAGCCCTCTGTCAGGACCCGTGCAGGTGGCAGTTGACACTATGGCCTTCAGGGTACCACCTCAGTCCACACTAAGCCCGCTGAGGATGGAGGGAATGGGCAGGTACAGCTTCAGGTAAAGATGGGCAAGGAAAGCAGTGAGGAAGGCCCAAGCCAGAGCAGCAAGTGGGACTCTGAACCAGTTTTCACGCTGGACCCTAGCTGTGCCTGGGAGGGGGCTTAAAGGGTATTACTTCCCTGGGCCCACTGAGCCTTTGCCAGGGAAGTGGTAAAATACAGACAAAATGTAGACTGAGGAGTATGGACAAAAACCTACCTGTTCAGTGATTCATTTTCAGAGCTCTTTTATATTCTTCATCTCATTGGAAAAAATGATCAATTTATCAACTGTGAACTGGCTTAAGGGATTTTCCACAGAACTTGGAAAATGTAAGTGATTTGCAGTATGTGATGCTGGATAAATATTTAATTTGGAGGGTTTTGGCTATCATTATATCTGTAATGGTTTTTTCCCACAAAGATTATTAGGTCTCCAAATGGGCTGGTAAAAAGATCTGGGCATGAGGCACCAGGGCAGAGGCACAGACCATGTGTGAGACCCTCCTCTGACTTTACTGCAAAATATCAAATACACTTAGTGAATCTGAAAGCGCTTAATTTTCAGCCACTTACAGAAAGGACAGAGACATTCACAAGCTGCTGTGTGTAGACCTTGTGGCTCTGTTTGCAGGTGATTTCACCTAACCTCCCCTTCCTCTATTAAGAAAGGGCTTCAGGGTTCATAATCGGAGTATAAGTACCAGATATCCAATCTGCTATATGATGACTTGTTATTCTACACACAATCCCAACAGCAATGACTGACCAGCCCCATACTGTCTATTACTGTTCGGCAGTATTATCACACACTCAGTATTTCAAAGAACACATACTACTGTCTCCATTTCTGTGAGTCAATAACCCAACTATAGTGCAACTGGGCTATCTGCAAGTCTGCATCAAGGTGTCAGCCAAGGGAGGAGTCTCGTCTGGGGACTGACTGGGGAAGGATGGGATACAAGCTCACTTCCTTGTGGGCAGCATGCACTTTAATAGGCCTGAAGGGCTGGGAGCCTCATTTCTTTCTGGGTGACGGCTAGAGGTTACCCTCTGCTTCCGGCTGTGACTTCTCCACATAATGTAGCTCAGAGCATGGTGGCTGATTTCCCTGAAGCCAGCAAGGGAGAGGGCCTTCAAGTTGGGTGGGTGTTGTCATGGAAGCATGCATATCCTCTCCTTTGCTGTATCAGGAGTCATGCCCTGTCTGCACTCCAGGGAGGGGACACATAAGGGGCACATACAGGGTTGAGGAGCTACTCTCAAGTGCGACTGCCATGCCATCTTTTAAAGAAAGAAGACATTTGCTTTCAATTGAGTCTAAAATTCAGTTTAACATCTGAAAGCTTTTCCATTTAAGTCAGCAATTCAACTGATCCATGGATTTGGAGTAGTTAATTGCTTTGCAGTGGTCCAGTTGCTCAACCTAAGCACTGCATGTCCATCCATTTCTAGTTGCCTAAATAATTGTAATTTCTTCACAGTTCCCTGCCAATCTTTTGGAAACCCTCTGGTCTTGTCTTGCTGGAAAGATGGTTCTCTGCTTGGTGGTTTCCACTCATGGAAAAAGCTGGTAGCTAAAGAAGTCATCTTGTTGGCTCCTTCCCATAACAGCTTACCTAGGCTCATTGGCTGCTGTGCACGTGAAGCATGGACCTATGATTCTGGCACTAGTTCCTGGGAAAGTGTGGGAAGTCATTCATCAGGTGGTAGTGGCTCACCTACCCTTTCCTGTCAGAAGAGAATCACTGTGCTCTATATCCAGCTTGTAGAATGTCTTCAGGGTTCCCTGGGGTACCAAGCCTAGCACCCAAGTCTATGGTAGATGGTCTGAGTTCTCATTTTCTGCTCACAAATATCCTTTTGCTCCAAGTAGGCATATCTCAGCTCTGCACTCAAAATAAAACTAATTACTGAGGACATATAGGCCTGAAGACGTGGATGCTGTTGACCCTATGGGTCCAAGCACTTTCAGTCACCTTGAACCTAATGGGGTAAATAGTGAATGATCATATATAGCAATAATATTGCCTCCATGGTTAGAAGTAGCAGTAGGAGGATGAAGAAATGACTTACTTATTACTTTCTTGTTGCTGAGACAAAATATCTGACACCCACAAGTTAAAAGAGGAAAGATTTATTTTAGCTCAGAGTTTGTACAGGTTTTAGGCCATAGCTGGCTCCAAGGCAGAGTGGCCATGGAAGTGGAGAAATAGTCCATGGCAGGGTAGGCAGAAAACAGCAAGCAGTGAGCCTCCTTTCCCCCTTTATTGCATTCAAG